AATTGGGTGGCTAGTATTATGCGTTGCATTCACATATGATTATTGTGAAGGTTACGTACAAAATCTTATGAATTTTGTAATTTTAATTGTATTTATGGTATGACTAATATTGTCTTTATTTCATAACCGATTAAGCATTTACAATATAAAATTATAACAAAAAATGAAAGGAAACAAAATTTATACTTCTATCAGAAAATCAGAGAAAGATTATTTTAGATGTTGCGTTAATAATGTTCTGGCTAAAAAAAAAAAGATATTTGTGATAACCTAACTATTGTCATTACTATCCTCATTACTCTCTTCATATAAATTTTCAATATTAGGACATGTTCTACTATTGTGCTGGTCTTACAACATATACCACATTTTCTGTTATATTCTTCATCTAAATTTTCAAGATTAGGGCATGTTCTACTATTGTGCCTGACCCACAACATATACCACACTTCCTATTGTACTTTTTTAATATAATCAACTCAAAGGTGGACGGATCTCTTTCAGTGGACGATTGGAGTCAGTTTTTGGCACCTACCAGACGTCCTCTTGTGGGTTGCATCTGTGGATCTTGTACAATTACAGTCGACTCTTGAAATATACATGACATTACATTCAGAATTGAACTTTTTTTGATAAGGTAGCAAAAAGTTGAATTTCTGGCTATACTCTTCCCATTTTTAACATAATGAAACTTCAGTTTTGGGTGTTTCTTGTTGAGACAATTGGTGTTGCTGAATCCACCAATGTTGATGAAAATCGTCAAAGTGTAAACATTTGTTATTATCACGAAATTTTTGAATTATATAAAAACAAGGTAGGCCCATTGATGATTTAAAAGTACCACTACAAAGTCGCAGTAGATTTTCTGGTATTGTATTAGACACTTTTAAAAATTGTTTATGAACTTTTTTTAATGCGAATTCTGACACCTTGGAAACAACCTGCACATAGAATAGTTTGTTTAGTGCATGGGGTATTTGAATCATCTCTTGGGAGAACTTGGTTTTAATTTTTTGATACTGATTTTCTAACGCTAAAGTAATTTTCTCATGGACAACAAGAAGATTACCCATTGATACCTGAAGGTATATTTTCAGCATCGCATAGACCCTTTCTACTCAAGATGTTGTCATATTACCTATGAAATTAGAAATAAAAAGATTAGAATAATGAAAAAAAAATGAAAAAAAGAATAATATTGAATAGCAGAAAAGAAAAAAATGCTAAAAAAAGAAAAAAAAATGCTAAGAAAATTCTCAAAATTAAAAAAACTTAAATATCTAGATACAAGTAATGGTCAGCCCAACAGCTCACAAAATTTGTTTTAAATAGAAACCAGGTTTCTTTCAAATATTCAATAATTGTTTGTTTTTCATTGTAGTTTTCTACTAATTTTTTTCTAGTTATTTTCAAAATCGGTTTCAGTTTTGGATTTTATAAGGGTAGACCAGCTTTTCATGAATGTTGACCATTCAATATCTGTTTGAAAATAACGCCGGCAATTAACCAATACATTCTTTTCAATGTGCCAAATGCACAAAAGATTTTTTGACTCTGGAAATACTGTTTTTATTACATTCATTAAGGCTAATTCATGATCTGTCATGATAACTTGGGGCTTTGGGATGTTACCAAAAATGTGAAAAACACATGTAAGAGCCCATTTGTAATCTTCTTCCTGCTCTGATTTTAAGAATGCAAAACAGGAAGAGAATGTAGTGTTGAAACTTGTCATGCCAACGACGTGAAATAATGGCATTTTAAATTTATTGGTTTTATAGGTACAATCCATTAAGAGAACAGAGTTATATGTTTTAGTAAGTATAATTGATTTTGGATATGCAAAAAAAAGGTGAGTTAAATTTCTATCTTGATCATATTGATAATAATATTCAATATTTTCTTCTACAAGCTCATCAAGAAGAGCTTGAATTGGTGTACGACCTTGAAGATTATCACATCGAATTTTATCCAGGTATTATAAATAGTTTTTGAAGTCGCAAAGTTATTAGGATTGCTTTGACGGAGAGTAGATAGTATCTCTTGAGGATATATACCTGATGTAGACATTTCCTGGACTTTTTGTTGATCATCATCATTCAATCGACGACTGGATGGATGGCCTGAAATGTCTTCTGATGTCTCATGAGTGTAAGTTCCATTGTTTATTATTAAATGTCATTGACCATCATCCATCTTCTTTCCATAGAGCTCAAAAGGGCAGCCTATCAATCATGTACTTGTATTTCTCTGGCAAGTTTCATCATTGAGGTTCAATCTGTTATCGTATTGGCCACCTCTGTCGCACCGCAAGTAAACAAACTTGTCTCTCTCTGATCTTTTAATAGTCACCGCATACCCATGACTGAAGGCATGAGTTTTAGCATGATGGATAAGATCATCACAGCTTGTGAAGTAACCTTCCGAAGGTGGGGACAAGAACATGGTTGATATTTTCAGAAGTACAAGATATATAATAAGATAACTGTGTATTTGTTTCATTTACTATGATGAATTTAATATCACAATATTTAAGCACGTAAGCGAAAGTTTTATATGTTTAATTAATACTTTATTAACAATTTTTAACTGAATTTAACACAAAGGATTTAGTGAAGATTTATAGAAACTTTTAGAACCTTTGTTAGGGTAAAGCGAAAGATAGATTTTTTAAGTTATTTCTAACTCGATGAGATGAATTTCACTAGATTTCGGGTGTTCCTTTTATACTTTTGAAGTTCAATCTACATCTTAAGCATCATATGAGGTTCTACCTATTTTTAGTTTATCATCAGTTATGGTCTTTACAGTCATTCTGAAACAATCGGTGAGAAAATTACAAAAATCAACTGAACTGATAAATAATCAATCTTATCAATTCTATTGAAGATTTTTTGGTAACTATAATTACTTTTTACTTCTTCAGTTAGCACGCCCAACATAGGAATACATATTTACCGGAAGATTTTTAGTAACTACTATTATTTTTTACTTGTTCAGTTAGCACGTCCACATCGCACAATTTACATTTTTAACAATTAGTAACATAGGAACGCATATCGACCAAAAGGTTTTTAGTAATTATGATTACTTTTTATTTTTCCAGTTTAGCACGTCCAAATCGCATAATTAACATTTTTAGCCATTAGTAACATAGGAACAGTATCAGCTGAAGGATTTTTTTAGTAACTATAATCGCTTTTACTTTTTTAGCTGAAAGATTTTTTAATAATTTTATTTTTTCAGCTAGCAATTAGCACCCCCGAATTGCATAATTAACATTAATACTATCGGCCAATTCAGAAATTTTGCATATGCATGTATCATATAATAATGGGCGCCTTGTTCGGACTAGCACTCTCAAGTTATGTTATTAATACCGTCAAGCAATTAGTATTATAGAACTCTATAGTCTTAGCTAATTCAAAACTGTTATATGCTTGCGCATAACTCTGTTGCTATTATTTACATAGTAATTAAAAAATCTATTAAACATTTTGAGGTAATAATATGGCGCAAGCAAATGATTTATTTAATGTAAAAGCGCGAATACATTTAATTAGAGCATAAATGCAATCCTTATACTGTATATTGTAGATATTATCAATAAATCAGAAATTTTATTTACAATCAAAAAAAGACCAAATATATTGTAAGAACTAACAACTCAAGCAATAAAACCCAGATCTTAAACAGCAACGACAAGTTGATATAATCGGTAACAATTCTAGCACTACATTTCCTGGTGTATGTTATTCAAAAATCACTTGACAAATTGAAACATCTCTTCGTCCTGAAATTCCACTTCGACTATTACGGGTAGTTTGGATTAGCGACAGACGCACCTTATTTAGGCTTTATACAACTACCATATGTTACATAATAAAAGCAACCAAAATGTTGCAAAAAAAAAAAAAAAAAGAGAATTTCTTCGAGCCAAAATGAAGGGATTGCTTATATTCGGGTCTAATTTTATTAGTAGAACATAACCTTAGTCAAATTTTTGCTCCAAAATCTGAGTGGTCAGTAACATACGGTATCTAAATTATGTATGGCTCAATAAACAGCAAATATTAATTTTTGCATTCCTGCTGAGCGAAAGACTTCATTACGCTCTTAAAAGATATTCATTAAATACTTTACCCGAACAGTTGTTTACACTAGCCCTCAGAACAAATTTTGCTAAGGCATCCAACCTTTGTTTAAGTTAGGTTTAAGGATTAGCAGTTAGTGATTAGACTCGTGTAATATGCTACTAAAATATGTAACAATACTTAAGTATGATTTTCTTAACGGGATTAGCGTTGGCCATTCTTAACAGTTCTTGAACCGTGAATCAGGGCTAAAACGACACATAGTAAATACCGGCCATTCAATAAGTGTCGTTTTTGATTCATATTATATTAAGATTTTATTGGCTCAAGAAACAATTGGTGCAGTATGATTATGCGTATAATACAAGTACTGCATTAATAAAATATATTTATATACAGTAATATAATATACGCTTTAGAATTCTTGCTTGTCTCTAACTGCCATAGACGAAAATTATGGTTACTTTTAAAATATAATATATAGTTTATAACTCTTGCTTGTCTCTAACTG